CCTATAAGCCTTCTTAAATATATAAAGAAAATTTATATTAAACTTTTAACAAATTAACTAAACTGTATTCTCAACTAGTACAATATCTTTTCTCTATTTAACTATATCACCTTATCTAAAAACAGTACAACTATTCTTATCTATATCCTTAACAATATTATTGAAGAGACTTTTTGTAATATTAAACAACTTTGGCTCATATCTCAAGATATAAGCAAAGTATATTACTCTGTCAATCTAGTATTATTTTATCAATCTTTTATATGTATTAATATGCCTTCTAAACTTATACATATACTTACCAATTTATTAACTAATCATTATAATAGAGTTATCACAAATCTTGATCTTACAATTTTATATTCTATTAATAATAGAATCAATCAAGAAGTAACTATACCTTCTGTTTTGGTATATCTACTATGATCTTCTAATTAGTAGAATCACAACCTATTTTACAAGCTATATACTAGCTACCTCATAGCAAACTAGTTTGCATCCTCCACAATACCAAAAAATCCAAACTTCTGTTTTAGTATTTGTATATATGAATAATATACTTTGGATTGCCTAATACAAAGAAGAACTCTAACTTATTATTCAGACTACAATATTATTTTACCAAATAGCAAATATTCAAATTAATTCTACTAAATTAATATTTATCTGTAATTAACCTACAAACTTCATCTTTTTTTGTAACTTTCTACTATACTCTATATCTCATAACAAACTATTTAAGTTCTTAAGCTGCTGGTATATTCTCAATAATAACAATCTTGACAAACTCAACTTATAAAATATAAAGTATTTTAATTTATCAATATTGCTAGTTTCAAATGATTACAGATAAGCAAATAGCTTATATTATTAATACTATTATTATTTCTACTCTAGAGTATAGATTATACAATATTATATTTTTATAGTCTAAATATATCAAATCTTTTTCAAATACCTTACAGTAGCTAAATATAAATCATAACTTGCCCAATCTATTTCAAATAGTACTATGCTTAATCCCTATTTATATAATATTAAAAATATCTAAGATATCTAGCTTCAACTTCATATTACTAACTTCTTATAATAAATTAATAATCTATACCTACTAGATATATCTACTTATATCTGAATATAGCAACTGCAGAATAATCTATAGTTAACCATTATAATACTCCAACATCTACAATCAACTATAGACTGGCTAAATAAATATACTCTCAACTTCTATATTATTCAACTTCTTATTTACTTAAATACATCAATTATAGCAAACTTTAATTTTTAATAGCCTCATACTATTTAATACAATCTACAACCTTTGGAAAGGATTTTACAACAACACCCTAAATACAATGTTATTAAAAAACAACTCAGATATCTAAACTTGCTTTACTTGGAAAAACTATGCTTAGCTAACAATTTTGTTCTTTTAGAATAGAAATACCTTTTACCCAGATTGCTTCACCTACCTAAAGGCAAGCAACCAAGTTGGTATATATATCTAGAGGATAAAGTAATATCTTATTACAACTACCATACCTTGCTACCTTAATATTAATAACCAGGTATTAACACCTTTGTATACAATACACATATTTCTAAAAAATCACAACTTTGGCTACTTAGCTATAACAACAATAATATTATTGTTGATAAAATTTATAAACATTTCTCTAATAATCTAATTTCTATTACTCACTAAAAGACTGATATCGATACTAGTTATTATCAACTCTATTCTCTTCAATCTGTTTTATGCCAACCATATACAGAATACTACCTATATTCTAATAGAATTAGCAATCATTATACTATTAATATTTTATCTATTATTTCTATACAATTTTTTGAAAAGATCTCTTTTAACAACTTTAACTTCTATGCTAACTATATAGATCTCATCTACTCTATAGCAGTTAAATATCCTATTCAAATTCTAATACCACCTCAATTCCTATCAACTACTCTATTGTATCTCAATCTTTAAGGCTAAAATCTACATTTAAGCTTAAACAATTTTCAGTTACTAATTCTACACAATCTTAATTCAACTTTTATACAGATAAATCTGTAATTGACATAGATATAAACCAATATATAATAGGTAAGGTTGGGTTCAGTTGGACTCCAATAATAATATTATATATATATTCTCAACAATAATTCACCTGTAGCTATCCTTCTATAAAGCTAAACTTTTTTTTGTTTTATCAGCAATTTATACTACTCTATACAACTCAATTATTAATATTTTTACTAATTTACAATCTGTTATCTCTAAATATATGAACCTTATTAACTCTCACAACCTTAACAAATTCTTTAAATTTAGTTCCTGGCCCTTATAGTGCATACTATTTAATATTTTTAAATTATATAATCTTCAAATCAATTTCTACAAAGTTCAAGCATATACTAATGACTACTATAATAATTTAGCTGACTTATTCACAAAACAACATATATTGTCACCTCTGCAAGATTTTATACATACCAATATTCATAATCCTTATCACATTATATAGTGGGAGCAATACTCAGTTAAATCCTCTACAAAATACTTTATTAAAAATATTTGCAAATTATATATTCTTGCACTATAGTCATCACAAAACCACAATACCAAATAGTCACCTTTTATTTAACAAATTAACTAGAATTCTATCTGGTTATATTTTAATTACAACCAAAAACCCATCTATAATTATACCAACTTTAAACTTACTCAACTCAAATAAATCTTTTAAAATTAAAACACTACTTAATGAATTACCTACTTCATACTTTTATTATATTAACTATCCTCACACTTTTAATAATTCTAATTGCTTTTTTTGTAATAGTTTAGATTCTATTTCACACTGAAGAGTTTGTTCTAACTTTACACCCTTTTCAATATTATTACTAATTCTATTTCTAAACTTATTCTTAACTCAGTACTAGATTTATCTAGCAACCAAATCTGTGAACTTATTGATATAATTCAAAATTATATAGCTTTCAATAAGATGCAACTTAGACCTTATAAACTCTTCTTAGATATCATACTCAAAGGCTTTATTTCTATATCTTTAGTTCAAACTATTCAAAAGTTTGATATTCTATATAAACTAGTATTTCAAACTATTATTAAAATTTTACTCCAAATTAATGAGCTTATTTATGAACAATTATGAAAACTATACTGTTGCAACTTTTCAAATTAGAAAAAGCAAAATGAAATTATTTTGTTTTATAACTAATCTTATTCATAACAATCTAGCAACAGAATTTTAAAATGAACTCAAAAAAGCTTATACTTACTCATGCCAATATGGTCAACCAGACCAATTACATACTAGCAATTTCTGTCTACCACTAGAGCAGACCATTTGCAAATTTAAAATTTTTAATATACTATAGATTAACTATAGTATATCTCCTAATTACATTTTATCTATTACAATTTAGATGAGTCTTTGATCATTCTAGTAGGTTTAGATCACAGATAAAGTAGTCTAAGCTTAAATTCTTTCATATAGTTTTTACTTTTTATATTTCATATATTTAAGATTAGCAACTTACTGTAGTTACTATATTAAAAACTATTAATAAAGATATAAGCAAGACCTCATCTTAATATCAAAAAAAAGTTATTGCAAATTATTACTATATATAGTAAGCTATACAAGTTTAGCTAAAGTTTAAAAAAATTTTATTGATTAAATTTGTTAAGTTCTTAATTAAATTTATACAAAAATAATATTTAATTTGTAGCTGCCTATAATCAGTGACAAAACATAGTAAAAAGTAAAGAAATTTACCATTGTCTTTGGAATCATGAGTTTTTTAAAGAAAAAGTTTTTCTTTACTAAGTAAACCTTTTTCAATACCTAAATAAAGTTGTAGAGAAGTGTCTTGCAATCAGAATGACAATTAAAATATTAGAATCAGTCTAGTGGATTGTGAGATATAAACATTTTAGTCTTTATAACTATATGTTTTCTTTATACAGATAAAGAAGAAAACTTATAGTTGCAAAGACTAAAATACTTATATCTCATAATCTACTAAACCAATTTTAATATTTTAATCATAATTCTGATCACAAAACACTCTTCTACAACTTTACTTAGGTATTGAAAAGAGGTTTACTTAGTAAAGAAAAAACTTTTTTTTTTGAAAACTCCAGATTTCAAAAAAGACAAAATTTACATAATAAATATAAAGAATGACTATTTCCACCCCATTTTTGCTAATACCACCCTCAGATATCAAACAGTACTCTGGAATAAATATTTTTATTAAGTAAACCCTTTTTTGATCTTAATAAAAGTTGTTCATCAGGCTTTTCTGGTTCTAATGATAGTAAAATCATTACACTCAAACTAGTAGTTTCTAAGATATTCTTATCTGAAGTTAGCTAACTTTCATTTACTTTTTAAAAAAAATTACTAGTTTGATTTTAATGATTTTACTATAATTAGAACGAAAAAGGCCTAATGAACAACTTCAATTAAGACCAAAAGGTATTTTTTCTTAATAGTAATATCTCTTCTGAAACACTTTTTTAAATTTTGGGGGTGGTATTAGCAAAAATAGGAAGTAAAAATAGCAATACTCTAAATATATTCTCAAAGTTTACTATAGTTTTTTTACTAGTTTACTAGTAGATCACAAATTAATTTTAATTTTAAATTTTTTTTATAATTAAATTAAGAGAATATTGTTGTAGTGCTATAGCATTATAGTGCTATAGCACTATAGTGCTATCTTTTGATATAATAAAAAAAAATTAATTTTGTATACCCATACTGCTATATATCTCTGATCACAGAATATATTAACAATGATTAGGGATAATTTTTTTCTGTTTGCATTTTTCTGTTTTGACTCATTTTTTTTCAAGCTGTGCTATCGCTGGTGTGTCACATCATCACTGTTGTCTTCACTGGTATTGTCAATATCATCGCTAGTGTTGTCATATTGTCACTAGTATCATCACATTGTTGCTGATGTCTTCGGTGTCATTGTCGATATTGTTTGATATTGCCCCTGGTGTATTTCTGTTAGTTTAATTAGCTTGTAATGCTGTTTATTTGACACTTTTTTGGTTTTTACTTTGTTGCTTAATTCATACTGTTGAGTTGTATTATTAACTTTTTTTTTTTTTAGATTAATAGTTTGTGGTTTTTTATCATTGTTGTAAAATCTTCAACTTCTTACTGTTAGCAGATTCATAGTTGTGTAATTTCATGGCTTCCTAATTGGCATTATATTTTGATAGTGAATTCATTAATGTTGTGCTTTCGCATAATTTCATTATGTATAATACATACCATGCTAGTGATGCTGTTTCAGGTTTTTGTAGTATTTTTTGAGAAACTGTATAGAATTTAGTAGTTTAGAGTTAGGGTGTGATTTATAGTTTGTAATAGCGTTAAATGGTGTAGATGATTGCTTTGGAATATAGTTGACCATAAAACTATCTATAGGCTTAGTTGAAAGGAAACCGAATTGTGTTGGTTTTTCAGGTAAGTAATTTATATGTTACAAATATTACACTATACTGAATGAAATCTCTGTGTGAAATAATTTACTGCTTAATTCTGAGATCACAGCTTGCCACAAAATGTGTCTAAACTGAAATAAGTATTCATGTTGACTGATTTGATTTTTAGAAACTTTTTCAATAAATCATTATACAAATTTTTTGCACATATTATAACTGATAAGTGGTGTAAAAAATAACAAATAAAATCTTAATAAATGCTCTTTTTATTGAATGAAGACACTATTACTGTTTGTTGAAATATATAAATATTATTGGGTATGAGACTGATCATTTAATCTACTTTCTATCTATAATTAAACATGTAGATATTATTAGATTCTATATATTTAATTATAGATTCAAAGTAATTTTAATAGACTATTTTTATAAGAACTTACTTCATGTTAATTTTTGAGCGAAGATAATTATCAATCCTGATTAGCTAAATTTGGGGTAAATCTAAATTGGTGCATATGTAAATCACATGTGTAAGACTAGATAAACGAATAACTATCACCACTATGCTCAACGTAAAATGTATAGTTTTAATTGAGTTTTAGCAGTATAAGATATTTTAGAGAACTTTGTATTCAATAAAATGTATTACTTTTAGATAGTTTACTTATACTGCATGGAACTTGTTTTTTATAATTGGTAGATTAGTCTTATTATTCTATCTTGGAAAAGAAGCTGATTACATTCTGTTATTTGATCTTATCTAGGATCACCAACAAATTCTGCAGTCACATGATTACTGATAAAATCTTTTAAAGCTTATTTAGTTTTGGATTAGAGTTTATTTTAGAGCTAGAGTTTAGTGGTTTTAAGAATAAAATCATCCAAGAAAAATCTTTTTGTTAATGCACAAAAGGTGGTTATCTATGCAGAATTTTGAGTTATAAGCAATATTTGAAAAAGCAAATGTTTGTTTTGATCATGCAACATTATATCTGATTTTGAAATCTGATATGTTTAAAATTATGTACATACATACTTGCAAAAATTTGTTGGTGATCCTAGGGTAGTTTTGTTATTTGCTATTATAGATTTACATACAATATAATTTTTAAAATAATAAAATAAAAAAAAATTATATATAAAACTATAGCACTATAAAATAAATCCCTTAAATTAATTTATTACAAATTATATTACTTTAAATTTTAAAAAAATTACACTTTGTTTTTAATATAGAATTTTTGTTTAGTTTTATTGCTAAAAATTTTAAACTTAAATTACTTCTTATATATAAATTCAATTTTAAAAATATTTTATAGTTTAAATTAGTAAACTTATCTTTACAAATTTTATTAGAAATAAAATTAAATTTATTTAATAGAATTTTATTAACTATAACCTAAGGTGATCATCACCTCAGTGCGATATCTCAAAAATGGGGCTAAAAAACAGGGGTCAGATAGGTTAAGTAAAAATGTTTAGCACATTCAAAATCTTGTATAACCTAAATTTGGGACTATTATAACTAGCTCTGTCTTGGTCTAAAATTGTACTCTACCCTAAAAATAGAGAGGTAACGATCATCTCAGATTATTATAATAATATTTCTATTTAATAAAAACATTTTTATAAGTAAATATATTTGGTTAATTTACTAGTAAATGCTATAAAAATTTAGATTTTGCTACAAGTTCTAGAACAAAAAAATTTTTATAAAATTTAAAAAAAGGTTTAAAACTATTATCTTTTTTTATAATAAGCCAAAAGGTTAAAGTATGATAAAAAAATATTTAATAAAGTAGTTTATTTTAAAAATAAGTAGATAATTTAGTTTAATGATATACTAAATCTAGTCCAATGTACTAAATCTAGTATGTGTAAATCCAATCTATTAAAAAAAAAACTGGTAATGGACTAGAAAATTTGCATATGAGAAACAAACATAATTTTAAAAAAAACAAAAATAAATTTTTTTTAATTATTATACGTATTCTCTAATTACATATTGATCTACATATTGCATAAATCATATTCTTAATATTATTATAAACATTAACCATAAATGCATCAAAAAAGTAACCCCTAACCAGACATGGCTTTAGCCATCCCCCCAATTTTAGAATCCGGTGACAAAGTTGCATATGAAAAATCAAACCAGCACTCACATCCTTACACTATGCAATATAATGCCCAATCAATTGCAAGATTTTGCGGAGTAACATCATTAAATTGCCGTATAACCATACACTTCGTGAAATTTTCAATATCACTCCGTTCCCGGTATTTAATAGTAAGTTTGTTCGAATTTGATTGTTAATTTATTCAAATTTGATCTGAATACGATTGTTAACTTTTCAGAATTTGATTGTTAACTTGTTTGAATTTGATTGTTTATCTGTACGAATTTGATTGTTTATGAAATTGATTGTTAACTTGTTCGAATATTATCGTTAACTTGTTTGAATTTGATTGTTGATTTGTACGAACTTGGTATGCGAAACCTGTAAGTACGTAACAGGTTTTTATCAAGACTTTTAAGGAATATAATTTTTTATAGCAAAAGAGCACCTAATTTATATTAAAAAAAATACCAATATGATACTCTTGAAAACAATCTTTTAACGTTAATATTAAATAAAGTTTTTCGTAAAATGTGACAATAATTGATTACGAATAAATAGAGTAATAAATTTTTATAGAATTAAAGCAATTTTAAATATAATAATATCGCAGTCTAGAATAATATCGCAGTCTATAATAATATCGTAGTCCCGTTGATAATAATATAGGCAACCACAATACTTTCGGCAGTCAATAATAATTTTTGCAACCAAAAAAATCTAGACACGTAATATTTTGAAAATGCCAAAAAAAAATTTCGCCATGCCGTCTGTCATCATATTTTAGACATCCATGGATAAATGAAAATCAGTTTATCTTTTTGACAAACAAAAAATTTAAATATAATCAGGGAACTAACAAAAAAGGCTAAAAAAAAAATGTAGATTCTTTTTTATCACACTTGAGCCTTTTTTCTTTCATATAATCGCAAGGAAATTTTGGCGGTAGATATCTGCACATGTTACAGATTATACTATAGAAAAATTTTCTTGATCTAAACCCATATACGTAGAAAAAGTTGATATGTACAATAGTTCGTGTGCATACATAATAATCATACTGCGTATCCATACACAGTATAGCAAAAACGGGAATAAAATCGCCATCTGCGCATTAATTAAAAGTTTTCCTTGTAAAATTTTGCTAATCCAATGCCAAAATCCTGACCCTACCCTAACCTAAAAAAACGAAATTTTATTTGAAACTTTTTTTTGGTGACGATTCTACCCTTGTCTATAGCAAAGTAGATCAGTTAAAAATTATAAATCTCTAAATACAGTAGATTGGTTAAAATTAAATATGATAGTGCTGACCAAATAACTATATACGGTATTACTTCCCGATATCGGATAATATCGGATAACATGAAAAAAGTATGGAGTTGGTGAAATCTAATATTATGCGATGAATAGGACATGTCTACCAGTTTTTATAGTGGTAATATTGAATAACTATTACTTAAGTACGGATATTGATTGAATTCAAGAACAATATAAGACAACTATAATACGGTATAAATCACTCGCAAATTCGAGACAATTTTTTCTGTGAATATATACGTATTACAATTTCAAAAAATGATTTGAAGGTAATAACAAATATTGAAATTTTAAATAATATATTGATCAATATTCAGTCGGGCACATTACCAAAAATGGGGGACGTCTAAAGCGGAGGCACTCATATTTCTTAATAATGTTCTCGATTTACTTTAGGGTTAGGGTGATCCTATATTAGGGTTAGGACCTACCCGAGGTAGGTTTAGACTAGAGATGCCGAGAAAACCATGTGATGCTAAATCATCACACACTATATCTTATACATATTGCATATGACTTAAAAAAATTACTAGTTATTTCCTTGTGATGATTTAGCATCACATGGTTTTCTCGGCATCTTTAGTTTAGACTGCCGTTTTTGTATTTTTCGGGTTGTTTTGCTTTGCCGCGATCATCAAAATTTTATAATTTGATTGGCGGTTGATCACATGAGTTGCCTCCGCTTCAGACGTCCCCCAAAAAATGGAATGCAGATCAAGTGATTCTTTTTGTTTCGGTTACACAAATCGGAAGCTGAGTTATC